TACCTTCTGATGCATATACAGACCTTAAGGCAAAAGATTCATAGAGAGATGAAATAAACTAAATATTAAAAAAAGAAAATACAAAAATATTAAGAATGAACAGAAATCTAATGTGTATGAATTTTTTTTAAAAAAGATGCTTCACAATGGCTTAAAAAAATCCTGCCAGATTACTTACACACACACACACACACACACACACACACACACACACACACACACACACACGAATCGACATATAAATACAGCCTGCTTAGTGCATTCAATGTTGCTAATTGCCTGTAGCTCTTTATCTAGGGGTGGAGCCCCGTGAGATTTCTCCTATCAGAACTAGAATTCCAACTGTTGTTGAAATTGCCCAGGTCTTGTTTAGGTAGCCATGTTGTTGAGATTTCATGGTGTAGTTTCTCTATCATAGCTAGAAGGCACCTCTATATTTTTTTTTAATTCAACGTAGTTGTGTGTGTGTGTGTGTGTGTGTGTGTGTGTGTGTGTGTGTGTGTAGGTCAAAGGTAAACTTACAGAAGTTGGTTCTCTCTAAGTCATTCAACAGCATAGAGAAACCAAAGAGATTTAAGAAGTCATATCCAAGATCTGAATCAAATACCCATAGACACCCATGGTTCATTGAATTATGTTCCTATCGGGAGTGCTCCAGTTTGTTTCAAACTCAGAATGTGTTTTCATATAGGAAGTATGCTTTTAATTGAATCACAGAAGTCTTTAATACCTGATACATCTTACATGGTAGATATTGTGCTGAAAGTCTTAAAACTTAAAACTCAAAACAAGTAAACTCTCCCCATACTTAGGCAGTGGTAACCGTCAAAGTAATTGAAACACAAATGGGTAAAATGGAATGCAGTGGCACCCTGCAGCCCCAGCACTCAGGAGAACGAGGTAAGAGAGACCCCGACCATCTCTAAAACCCAAACACACAAATAGTAACAGCAATAACCACACTTGAATAAACATTGAGCTTCAAAAAGAGGATGGAGGAGCCGAGTGTGGTGATGCAGCTTTTAATTCTAGCAGAAACAGGAGGATCTCTGTGAGTTGAGGCCAGCCTGCTCTACATAGTGAATTCTAGGACAACCAGAGCTACATAGTGAGACCCTGTCTCAACAAACAAATAGGAGGACAAAGTAAATGTTTTTCAAAGATTTAAAACGGGTCTTAATTATTTTTAAGTACTTAGAGGTTGGCGTATTGATTCTGTAATATGTTTAACTTCAAATGGACTTTTCCTTGATATTTTTTTTTTTTTTTTTTTTGAGAGGGGGTCACATCTGGACCACTCTTATTTCTCTTAAGCTTATTTACCAGCTGTAAAATCTTCAGAGTGGAAGTGGACAGATGCTGGGATGCCTGAGCAGAGAAAAGAAGGAAGGTTTCCTGAATAGTTAAGCTTTTAGAAAACAGGTAGACAATGGGAGCGTAGTGTTAAATAAGATAAGTAGTTTGTATAGCTGTGGGCAGTTTTATACACCAGAGACAAAGCCTAACAGATCTGAGTTGCTGGAGAATAGAAGAGGGTGTGTAGAATGAGGCTTCTTCAGCTTTTTCATTCATGACCCCTTTGTGTGAGAAGGCTCTTTATAACCATAGGCATTTGTTTATAAAATAAGTATACAAGTGAAAGTTACTGATAATAAGTCATGAGGTTTTTATTTGAAAAAAAATTGATATGCATTTAATTTTACCAAAAGCAACCTTGCATGATGATTTCTACATACAGAATGAAGTGTTGGGGGAACATGTGACACTGTAGGACACAGAGTTGATGTTTTGATTTTGCAGTCATCAGTGCTGAGACTGCTGCTCGGCATAAGTACATGGTGTGAGAACAGCAGAAGTGCATGTGAACCACTGCAGAAACTGTTGCCCGCAGTTCACCAAACAACTTTGTGGAATTGGAGGGAGCAGCTCAAACAGTGCCTTTTAAAACCCAGCCTTCGAAGACAGTGCAGATCTAACTGGATGTGCTAACTGGACGCTTTTGCAGAGGAGTGAGGGGAAAGCTGTCGTCTTTGTTTCTGTAGTTAAGCTTTGTGTCTCTACAGGAACAGAAAGCTGTGTGTGCAGTGTGAGAGGAGAGCTGCGGGCCACACATTTAGCAGTCTCCTGTCTGAGGCAGGGTCTCCCCCCAGCAGTGTTCACTGATGTTGGAATGGAGCAGGAGTAGTGAAGGCATGCACCGCAGTACGGTAGAGACATCTCAGACTTGCACATTTGATACTAAATTGATTTTTGATTCTTGAACACTGAAAAACCTTTGACTGGGGCTGGAGAATGGTTCAACTAAGATCACTCGCTGTTTGTGCAGAAGACCTGGGGTTCAGTTCACTGGCAGCTCAAAGCCAGCTGTAATTTCTGTTACGTGGGATCCAACACCCCGTTCTGGCCTCTGAGGGCGCCAGGCATGTATGTGGTGCACAGACATACGTGCAGGCAAAACTCATAAAATAAAAATAATAAATTTTAAAAACAAAAAACAGGGCCTGGAGAGATGACTCAGCAGTTAAGAGCACTTATTGCTCTTCCAGAGGACCCAGGTTTAATTCTCAGAATCCACATGGCAGCTCACAACTGTCTGTCTATAGTTCCTGGGAATCTGCCTCCTTGTTTGGCCTCCACAGGCCCCATGCATGCACGTGGTGCACAGACATACATGTGTGCAAAACACATGTACACTTAAAATAAAAATAAAAAAATGATTTTTATGAAATGTTGTATAAAATTCTCAAAGAATTAACAAAAATATATTAACAAAACAAAACAAATCCCCTTTTATTGTTGTCAAAATTTTGAGACTCCCCTATAGACCTATAGTTTTTAAGAAGCCATATTATCCAGATATGGTGGTGTGTGCTCATAATCCCAGTACTAGGGAGGCCAGAATAGGAAGACAATTTGAGGCCAGCCTGGAATATATATATATATATATATATATATATATATATATATATATAGGATAGCTTATAGCAGTGGCTCTCAACCTTCATAATGCTGTGACCCTTTATTTTTATTTTATTTTATTTTATTTATTTATTTATTTATTATTATTATTTTTTTTTTTTTTGGTTTTTCAAGACAGGGTTTCTCTGTGTAGCTTTGTGCCTTTTCCTGGAACTCACTTGGTAGTCCAGGCTGGCCTCGAACTCACAGAGATCCACCTGGCTCTGCCTCCCAAGTGCTGGGATTAAAGGCGTGCGTCACCACCGCGGCCTGTGACCCTTTAATACAGTTCCTCATGTTGTACTGACCCACAACCATAAAATTATTTTCATTGCTACTTCATAATTGTAATTTTGCTACTGTTATCATAATGTAAATATCTGATATGTGATCCCAAAGAATGTATGACCCACAAGTTGAGAATTTCTGTTAAGTCTAAGCCTTAGACTGTCTAGCAAGGCCCCCGTCTTAATAGCACAAGCAAGAAGCTGTGCTAAAAGCGATTCTGGGCTGTTCTGCATCCTCCTCCATGAGGATGCAAGCAAGTACCTGGTGTGCTTGTTTTATGTACAGGTATTTGAAGTCAGATTTGGAATTATTGATTATCTCTAAGTATGTGAGTTTGGAAGTGCTTCTTTTGAATACCATCTGCTTGTGAACTCTGCTTAGTATGTAGGTCAAGATGGGATCCTCTGGAGGCTCTGATACAGTACCTGATAGATACAATGTAGGTGTTCACTAAGTACCTCTCTGCTTGGGTGAGTTTGATCGCGTCTTCTGTTGTAAACAGATTGATCAGTAAATTTACAAGGATACAGGGAATTCTCTCTTTTTGTTGTTGTTTTTTTTTTGTTTGTTTTTTGAAACAAGGTTTCTCTGTGTTGTTTTGGTGCCTGTCCTGGATTTCACTCAGTAGACCAGGCTGGCCTCGAACTCAGAGATCCTCCTGGCTCTGGCTCCTGAGTGCTGGGATTAAAGGGGCGCACCACCACCGCCCAGTGGGAATTCTCTTATGGCTGTAGACTAATTTATTGTTAGACTATCTTATTCTGTGACTCTTTGGAAGGTTTTTCTTTTTGTTGTTGTTTTGTTTTGTTTTTGAGACGGTTTCTCTGTGTAATAGCCCTGTCTGTTCTGGAACTCACCCTGTAGACCAGGCTTGCCTCAAACTCAAAGAGATCCACCTTCCTCTGCCTCCCAGTGCTGGGATTAAAGGCGAGCACCACTGCCCAGCTGAGATGTTTTTGTTTCATCAGCTTTCAGATTGGTTAATCTCCCCTGGCTCTGGGCGGGGAGTGGGGATGGTTGGGGGTGGGAATAGGGTGTGTGTGTGTGTGTGTGTGTGTGTGTGTGTGTGTGTGTGTGTGTGTGTGTGTGTGTGTGTGTGTGTCTTATGGAATAGAAGATACAGAGCTGGTTTCTAAAGGAGTCTTTGAGTTTTAGGAAGAATCACCAAGAATGCAGGGTTCATGTACTGCAGGCTTAAACAGGACTTTAGGTCTAGAAAGGAGTCATAGTTACAGCAGAGGTGTCTGTTTAGAGACGTGAACCAGCCAGTATGGTAGCTGTAGTAGAGAAGCCAGAGCCATCAAAGAACTTAGGTGCATACATTGTTAATATTAAGTAATTTTAAATCAATATTGTAGATACTCGAGTTTGTTTATATAGGTCAGCTGAACTAGTATAGTAGTGCTACCAGAAGCCTCAGAGTGAGAACTTTTATCTTAAATGACGTCTCAGGGCCGGGTGTGTTCTTCAGTGGTTAAGAATGTGTACTCAAAGCTGGACTTGGTGGTGCACGCCTTTAACCCCAGCACTCAGGAGGCAGAGTCAGGCGAGTCTCTGTGAGTTCAAGGCCAGCCTGGTCTGCAAAGTGAGTTCCAGCACAGTCAGGGCTGTTACACAGAGAAACCTTGTCTCAAAAAAACAAAAAGAAAAAAAAGAAAGAAAGAAAGAAAAGAAAAAGAACATGTACTTAAACTGTATGAGGTCCTGGGTTCAACTGCCAGAAAGAGATTAATTTTTTTTTCTGTTACTTCTAGGTTAATTTAGCAGACGAAGACATTGTATTTTGAAATATGATTAATCTCCTGATGCAGCATCAGAGGCTAACAATATTAATGGCCAGATCTAGGTAAGTTGAAATTTACCTTAAAAGAAAGGACCAATCAACTTAATAGTGTTTTGTTGAGTGCAGTCATGTTGTGTCTTGATTTACTGACTCCCCCATTCCCAGAAAATAAATGCAAATGGCTTTAATTAAACAAACACAGAATATCCCAGTGTAGAATATTCAGGCAGCGTGTGGAAGTTAATCGCAGACAAGAAAGCTACCTGTTGTTATTGAATGTACTTAGATGTCAATGTTGTCCTGGGGGAGCATAAGATCTCTTACATATGCACTGAGTTCTGGAGAAATGTACTCATGAGAGCACATGGTTCTTTATTCAGTGTTTAAAATGCCAGTGAATATTATGAGGTGTCATAACTGAGATGTGGCCTCCAGATACTAATCTGCTCTTCAGAAATGGAAACTATCCAGCACCTCGCCTTTCCCTTTGCCCATGAGACTGTAGGTCAGAAGGAGGGCCTCGGAGATTTGAATGGAAATTTCACATCTTTGGGCAATACACAGCCATTGCAGTCAGGAGCTCTCACCAACTCTGAAGGTCCGCTCTGGGTCCACACAAGAATGGGCTTGTCCACAGCAGGCATGGGTGGAGGAGGGGCTCAGGGCCCCCGCTCTTCGCTGCAGAACTATTTCTTACTGATGGAGTCAGAGAGAGGAGGAATCGTTACCTTCAGTTGTCATGCGCTGGTGACCCTGGCAGCTTCCAGTGCTAGTCCCAGTCCGGTAGTCCCGGGTATGGTCCTGGCTAAACTGAAGGAGTCACACCAAGGTCAGAGTCCAGGAACAGACAAGTGGAAGGAGGATGAGGAGATGGAGAAGACTAGAACAACCAGAGTGCATTGTGCACATCAACAAGATTGTCAAAACACTACATTCCGTTTCTTTGTTTTTTCTTAAGATTGATTTATCTATTTCTTGTGCATTGGTGCTTTGCCTGTATCTATTCTGTGTGAGGGTGTCGGATCCCCTGGAACTGGAGTCACCGACAGTTGTGAGCTGCCATGTGGGTTAAATTCCATTTCTAAACAGGTCTCTTTCCCAAAGCTGGAATGTGAACTACTGCCTGTGTTCAGTGGCTGGAGCTCCTCACAAGGACGGAGCCTCTGCTCCTGTCATGTCCAAACTGGTCCTGTTCTGTGCCTCTCCCTCCTCCTTCCCTTCTTCCTTCTCACTGCTGGCTGCCTCTCCCTCCTCCTTCCCTTCTTCCTTCTCACTGCTGGCTGCCTCTCCTTGACTTCTTCCCTTCTTCCTTCTCACTGCTGGCTGCCTCTCCCTCCTCCTTCCCTTCTTCCTTCTCACTGCTGGCTGCCTCTCCTTGACTTCTTCCCTGCCCAGCACTCTTCATCACCAATGTTTTGTCACTTCTTTGTCTCCCTTACTCTCACACCCTAGGTCAGATGAGCCCTCTGACTGCTGAGTGCCACCAGTAAAGGGCCTAATCTTGTCCCTCATCCTCTGCTGAGATTGTCTCACCTAAAAACCTAGCTATCCTGTCTTAGTTTGGTTTTTATTGCTGTGAAGAGACACTATGACCACGGCAACTCTTATAAGGAAAACATTTAATTGGTGTAGCTCACTTACAGTTTCAGAGGTTCAGTCCATCATGATCATGGAGGGGAGCACGGCGGGTGCAGACAGACGTGGTGCTGGAGCCGAGAGTCCTACATCTTGCAGGCAACAGGAAGTCTTCTGACTCTCACACTGAGGGAAGCTTGAGAAAAAGACCTCAAATCCCACCCCTACAGTGACACACTTCCTCCAACAAGGCCACACCTCCTAATAGTGCCACTCCCTTTGGAGGCCATTTTCTTTCAAACCACCACATTCCACTTTCCTAGCCATATCATAACACAAAAAATGCATTCAGTCCAACTTCAAAAGTCCCCATAGTCCATAACAGTCCTAAATGTATTTCAGAGTCCAAAGTGACCTAGAAATCAGAATAAAAAAGCAAAGCACATATGTCCACATAATGTCACAGGATATGCATCACCATCCCAAAACCCAGGAAAGGGAGCACATCCAGGAAATACTGGACCACAGCAAGACCCAAGATCAGATGGGCAAATTCTAAACTCTGCATCTCCGCATCTAATGTCAAAACGCTCTGATTGTTGACTGCAACACACTTCTTTCTCTTGGGTTGGTTCTGCTCCCTGTTAGCATCTCTTCTCCGCAGGTATCCCACGACTCTGCCATCTCTAACATCTTGGGTTCTCCAAGGCAATCCAGGCTGCAACTTCACAACTTCACACAATGGCCTCTCGAGGCCTGCATTCTGGGACACCCCTAATATGTGCCTGGCCTCATCAGCTATCCTTCGGTGTGGAGACAACTTCTGTAACCCGTTTCTTCTGTCATAAACTCTAAAGCCAGAACCACATGGCTGAAGCTGCCAAGTTCTGCTGCTTACTTACTAGGGCTGGATCATGGCCGCCTTGTTTTAATTAATTCACCAGCTTTCTGTTTTTGTTTACTGCCTAAGCCTGGCTGTCCTTGAACTTGATCTGTAGACCAGGCTGGCCTCAAAGTCAGATCCTCCAACCTCTGCCTTCCCAGTGCTGGGATTAAAGGCATGCACCACCACACCTGACTATATAAACTTTTCTTTAATTCCTTTCCACAAGTTGGAAACCAGCTGGGTGGGATCTTGCCCTGAGGTCACCACTCCCTTTATTCCATTCCTTAATCCATTTATCTCCTTGAACACAGAATTTAGATTTATTCCACTTCCTGGTGCTCTTTTTCTCTTCAAAATTTACATTTTGTAATTTGCCCTGCTCTACTTGCTCTTTTTAATTATAAATCTTCATTAGAGTTACCACTAATATTCACGTGACAGAGTATTCTAGGTCCTTTTGAGATTTCTTCTGCCAATGGAATTAATGCAAAGTTCTTCACTTTAGCCTTGGACAGCTCTTTGGACAAGGGCAGCCACTTTCTTCACCAAAATACCACAAGAACCATCACTGGGCCACACACTAAACCTCCTCTCTGAAACCTCCTGAGTGTGCCCCCCCACCCAGTTCAGATCTCTCTCAGCACCTCTGTCTTCCATGCTCCTGCTCGGATGGCCCATTAAGCAGTGCTTTCTTAACCCAAAGTACCAAAGTTCAAATTCCTCCAATCACACACTTTGGCCTCTCACAGCAATACCCCAGTCCCTGGTACCAACTTCTGTCTTAGTTTGGTTTTTATTGCTGTGAAGAGACACCATGATCACTGCAACTCTTATAAAGGAAAGCATTTAATTGAGGTAGCTTGTTTCAGAGGTTCAGTCCCCTCTCATCATGATGGGGAGCACGGCGGCGTGCAGGCAGATGTGATGCCGGAGCTGACAGTTCTACATCTTGCAGGCAACAGGAAGTCTTCTGACTCTCACACTGAGGGAAGCTTGAGAAAAAGACCTCAAAGCCCGCCCCCACAGTGACACACTTCCTCCAACAAGGACACACCTCCTAATAGTGCCACTCCCTTTGGGGGCCATTTTCTTTCAAACCATCACATATCTTTACAAAGAACTTCTTGGTCACTCACTCTTACCAGTTTCTGCAGGTCCCTTGTACAACTCTTGTCTTGTCTTTCCTAAGATGGGAGATGTCATCTACTTCAGCTTATTTATGAACCTGTCTACCCTTTTCTCTTGTGCGTGTGTGTGTGTGTGTGTGTGTGTGTGTGTGTGTGTGTGTGTGGTATACCTGTGCCTGTAGAGGCCAGAAGAAGGCATCTGATCCTGAAGCTATCTCTTTAGTCCCCTCATTCTTATTTATTTGTCTCTTGCTTTAGAGGACAAGGCAGTCGCCATCTCTCGGTAGACCCCTCAGTTTGGTCCCTGTAACTCACCTTCTTTAGGTCCTCAACCTGCTCTGTCAGTTAGCGCGCGCGTGCGCACGCACACACACACACACACACACAAACACTTTCCCTCCCTATTTTAAGAAAAATCTTTTTCTGGGGGCTGGAGAGATGGCTCAGTGGTTAAGAGCACTGGCTGCTCTTCCAGAGGACCCAGGTTCAATTCCCAGCACCCACATGGCAGCTCACAACTGTCTGTAACTATAGTTCCAGGAGATCTGACACCTTCACACCAATGCATATAAAATAAAAATTTAAAAAAAATAGCCTAAAAAATAAAATTTAAGAAAAATCTTTTTGTGGCCCATTGATTGTAAACCTGCTTCTTTAAATGTCTGCTGTCTTAGGGGAATATGTGCATGTGGTACTCATCCCTAAGCTCAGTGCTTGGAAGTCTGAGACAGGACAGTTAGAATTGTGTTTTTATTGCTGTGAAGAGACACCATGACCACTGCAACTCTTATAAAGGAAAGCATTTAATTGAGGTAGCTTGTTTCACAATTTCAGAGGTTCAGTCCCCTCTCATCATGATGGGGATACTTATTTTATGTGTATGCTTGGGTGTGTGTATCTGTATCACCTGCCTGCATGAGCCCTCAGAGGTCAGAGGACGGCAACAGATCCTCTAGAACTGGGGTTACAGGTGATTGTGAGCCACCATCTGAGTGCTGGGAACCAAACCTCGGTCCTCTGCATGAGTAGTAAGTGCTTTTAACTGCTAAGCCATCTCCAGCCCCAGCCTTCCTTCTCTCTTACAGCTTTAATGTTCTGTGCATTATGATATTTCTTTTTTGTCTTTTGTTTTGTTTTGGGTTTTTTTTTTTTGTTTTGATTTTTGTTTTGCTTTCAAGACAGGGTTTCTCTGTGTAGCTTTGCGCCTTTCCTGGAACTCACTCTGTAGACCAGGGTGGCCTCGAACTCACAGAGATCCGCCTGGCTCTGCCTCCCGAGTGCTGGGATTAAAGGTGTGCGCCACCACCGCCCGGCCACATTATGATATTTCTAAGATGCTCCCTCAGAACCACGTTTACACATTTAGCTCATTTGTATGTCTTTGGCTGTTGTCTGCAACCTGAGGTTAGGATAACTGAAGCCGAGGCCATCGTGACTTGCAGCTGAAGCATCTCGGGCTACGGAACTTTACTAATCATCTGCATGGTGGACACTTGCTTTCTGCCCATTTCTGCCAAGCCAGCCTCCCAGCACTGCCACCCTTGTCCTTTAAGTTCATCACTTTCTTCTTCGTACCCATTGCTGCTTCGACATTAGGTCTTCATCCTATTTCAGTTTTAAATCTGCTAATTTCTGAGTTCATCTCCTACTTACATGTGTCCTGCAGGCAGATGAATTTTAAGTACACATCTGACGAGCTCCCTTTCATGGGTAAAATGAATGTGCTTAAGGAGGTCAGGGAAAGAATGCCATATAATTTTTAGATTTTCAGAATGTTTCTATCAATTACACTTTTTGTAAACTTAAACGTATTTTTCTCATTTAATAATTTAACCCTTGTCAGTAAAAACTGAAAACATCTGTGGAACATGTACCCTAGAGAATGAAGAAGACAGGATACCTGTCTGCCATGATCCCAGCACAGTGAGTCAGTTGACTGGCACCCAAAGCACCATACCAGACCCCGCTGCTGTGCTGCGGGAACGCTGCAGCTTCTCATTTCTTTAGGTTTATATGCTAGTACAATTTTTCATCTTAATCATAATTGTCCAGCATTCTTTACCTTAGTGTAGTGTAGTTCATTATGTTCACGGTTGGCCTAAAGGACCTATATAGTGTTGAGCACTAGGTGTGCGAGGACGAGTAAGGAGCTCATAGTGGAGGGAGAAAAGTATATACGTGGATAGCTGGCCACAGTGTCTGCTAAAGACAAGGCATGGTAGGTGCTGTGCTATTGCACAGCCTGGGGTGCTTGGATGCGGATGTGTGAGAATTCAAGTTAACCTAGTAGGTGGGGCCAGGAAAAGTTTCATCTTGGAAAAGGGAAGCTGCCCACAGCTGATGTGGAAGGCTGTGGGACAATAAGCTGATGTCGGGAATGGTAGTTTGTTTATTCTAACTAGAGGTAGGGTAGTTTGACCAAGGCAGAAGGCAGTTTTGGTTTTTAAACCTGAAAGTGGTTAAGAAAAACAAAACACTGAATTTAAACGGTTTCAATCAGATCTGTATTTGTAATGCTGTGTGGCTCCTGTGCGTCTTTCCCTACCCTATGTAGCAAATGGCAAATGTATTCTGTTCCTCTGCTTTGTTTAGAATTAATGCTTTGACATTCTCCTATGTTTATTTGGAATGCTCTTGAACACTTATTGTCATCTCTGTAACCTTTTTTGACCTTCTGTGGCAAAGGATTAAATAGACAAAGGATGTCAGGTTGGCCAGGGTTGTGTGCTTTAATCTACTGGTTGAATTTTGAGTTGACCTTCTTTCTTACTAATGTACTGTTTAAAAGTTGGTGTTGTATGTTGCTTGTCAATGAACTCATGTCTAGTAGGATACGTAAAAGGGACTACACCGAGTAATAAGAATCAAAATACCTGTTAGCTAAAAGTATAGCATCCTTTTTAAAAAATTGTGTGTGTGTGTGTGTGTGTGTGTGTGTGTGTGCGCGTGTGTGTGTGCGCGCGTGCGTGCGTGTGCCTGGAACTCACTGTATAAATCAGTCTGGCTTCAGACTCAGCTGCCTGTCTCTGCCAGGATTAAAAGCGTGTGCCACATGCCAGCTTTTTTTTTTAAGGGTGGACATGAAATTTCTGATAAGCCATAAAAGATTAGTTTCTTGATTAAGTATTGAATAACTGTAAGGTAATTGTTTAGGTAGTGGTACATGGTTTTAGAATAATCAGACCTTTATAAATTAAACTGGAAATGTGAGTTTCTGTGCCCTATACCTTATATAATTTATTCTCACCAAGCAGAATTGACCAACTAGTTGAATGAAATTTAGTTCTAAACATTAACACCATTGGGCTTTATTTTCTTCATCAAAGTATCATGCCTGTGTGGGGTGCTTTCTAGTCTTTTCCTGTTTTGCAGTTTTGTATCCTGATATAGTAATTTTCTTCAAATTATTTTCTGTGCAGTGCTCACATGGTCTTCTGAAGAAGCCATGGGTAGCTGTTGTAGCTGTCCAGATAAAGACACTGTCCCAGATAACCATCGGAACAAGTTTAAGGTCAGTAAACCAACAGAACTTTGTTTTCTTCTTCTGTCTACTTGGATGTACTCGAACACTTAATTTATCTTGCCTTCTTTCTTTTTATTACCCAGAGCCTTTTTTTTCTCCCCCTTTTCCCCAGTCCACCTTTTCTTGAGTAAATGATGACACTTTCTTACCAACAATATGGATTGCTAGTCCATTTCTCATTACTGTAACAAATGCCTCCATCTAAATACTCAACAAAGAAAAGAAGTTTGTCTAGCTCACACCTTGAATAGAAAAGTTCAGTCAGCATAGCACTGGCCCTGACCAAAGAGCCCTCTACTAGATTGCCTTGTTGTGGTATAGTATCACAGTGGTCTGCATGAGCAGGACTCAGAGAGACCGGGGTGTAGAGAGCCGTGCACGACCGTGCCTCAAAGATGGCGCGGGTCTGGCTTCTGCCTTCCCGATGGCAGGTGCTCCTTATTTGGCTAAGGCTAGGATCTGGCTTGCTTCTGCACACCTGGACCTAATCCGGCTTGCTTGCGTATGTCTGACCCTAGCGGCATTGTCCACGTGGCACCACGGGGTTGATTGCCCAGTGGCTATAAAGGGCGTGGGCTGACTTTTGAGGGCGCGCGCGCGCGCGCGCTGCGCGCGAGTGAGTGTGAGTGTGAGAGTGAGTGAGAGTGAGAGAGAAGAAGAAGAAGATGGCTTTCCCCGGGGTCAGAAGATTGTTCAAGGTTCCTGAATAAACTGCTTGGAGAAGAGCCTGGCGTCGCGTCTTCCTTGCTGGTCAAGGCGGACGCGACACCGGGGACTGTCTGGAGTCTCACAGGTCCTATGTTGAGCCCTTGTGAGGGCACACCCCCAGTGACCCGAGGACCTCCCAGATGCCCACCTCTTCAAAGTCAGTCCTGCCACCCCGGCACTGCCACAGTGCTGACCAGGCTAGGGGAACAAACCATGATAGGACTCTCCTTAGTTTTCCTGGGGCCCTTTGTGTCCAGGTCACCACACAGTTGTGGTTATCATTTCTTTAGAATGTCATCTTACAGTTGTCCTGTAGTCCTGTCACGTGTCAGCTTTCTGTCACTGTAGTGAAGACTGATGTTGAAGACAGTTTTATTTCGGGTCAGTCGTGGAGGTTCCAGCACATGATCCAGTAACCACTGCTACAGGACAGCGGTGCAGTAGCACATCAGGACACAGAACAAGACACAGCTGGGTCTTCTTCATGCACGTACCCACCCTCACGAGAAGACCCCGTCTTTTTAAGGTTTTGACGCTTTATAAGCGGTGCTACAGACCGGGTCTGTGCCTTGAACACTTAAGCCTGAGGGAGATACTTACGATCCAGACTGTAGCACTATCATTTAGACATCTGCATGCATGCTTAGATGACTTTTTTGTTTGTTTTTTTATTTGTTTTTTGTTTGTTTGTTTGTTTTTGGTGTTTGGTTTTTTTATTTTATTTTGTTTTGGTTGGTTTGGTTTTTTTGAGACAGGGTTTCTCTGTGTAACAGCCCTGGCTGTCCTGGGACTCGCTTTGTAGCCCAGGCTGGCCTCAAACTCAGAGATCTGCCTGCTTCTGCCTCCTGAAAGCTGGGATTAAAGGTCTGCACCACCATGCCCAGCCATTTTTTTCTCTATAAGATGGTCTCACGGCATACCCAAGGCTGCCTTGTAGCCCAGTCCTCCTCTTTTCTGCTCTAGCTGGGACCGTCGGGTTGTGCTTCCGTCTGGCTTGATTTCTTCATTGCACTTGCAGTCACCTGAGAGCCATCCCGTGGTTGCCATATACTTAGTCCTCGTCCATCCTTCAGTAACCTGTGCTAACATAGGCTAAATGATCCCAGAGCTATTTAGTGTCACTTACAATCCACCCTGGGTGTGTTATGTTTTAGCTTCTGGATGGCATGTACCTTGTGTGGCTTCCAGCTCTGTTACTTAACAGCTTTGTGCTCTTGGGCAGTTTGTATGATTAGTAAGTCTTACCTCCATTGGTTCAATGGAGACCTGTAGTCTAGGGTTGTTACAAAGATTAAATGGGGAAAGTACAAGCCAATCACCTGTCTGTGCCCCAGGAGCATAACACCTTCTCCACAAATACGACCCTTCGGTCTCAGTCTTTGGCTGTGTTCTCTGCTGGCAGCACTAGTAATGGAGCCAGGGCCTCATGTGTGCTAGTCCAGGGCTCTACCACCGAGCCTTCACCCAGCCGTCTGTAGGGGGCGGGGTCTGGAGCTCAGCAGTACAGTCCTTTCCTTAGATGGACTTTGGGCCTATCTTAATTGGTCTCTTTAAAGGTACTTACTTTCCTCTGTTTCAGCATTGTGTCTTCATGTTGTGTTTGTATCTTGTGAGCCACCAGATTTCCCTCTTACCGGATTCCCTCTCTAAAGTTAATCATGCTCGAGTCTAGTTGAAGATCCTCCTTGTTTTCTTCAGCCACCTCAGGCAGTTGTTGCTGCCTGTATAGTCTCTGTTGCATTCACTTATCAGCTAATCAAATAGAGTTTGACTTGGTGTTTGTATCTGATTTCTCCAGTGGTAATGTAAACTCTTTATTTATTATTTTATTGTTACATAGTTCATGCCCTACACACATTGACAGGCGGGTAAACTAGCTAGTGAGAAAAAAGCTAATATAATTATCAGCAGTGCATTTTTTCTGAAAGTTGGTGAAATGTTCACATTACTATTGCTTCTTTTTAGGTCATTAATGTGGATGATGATGGGAATGAGCTAGGCTCTGGCATAATGGAGCTCACAGACACAGAACTGATTCTATACACCCGTAAACGCGACTCAGTAAAATGGCACTACCTCTGCCTGCGACGATATGGCTATGACTCCAATCTCTTTTCTTTTGAAAGTGGTCGAAGGTGTCAGACTGGACAAGGTAGGGAAAGCCTTTATTTCCTGCAGTTATCAGTTACTCTGTGTATAGCGTTTCATTTCTGAAGGAAAGACTGGAATGGTAACACATGCTTGTACACCTAGCACTTGGGAGATAGAAGCAGGAGGATTGCTGCAATTCTACATAGCAAACTCCAAGTGGAAGACCCTGTGCCAATAAATAAATAAATAACCCACAAAACTCCCAAACAGGGACGGTTTAAAAAGAAGGTAAATTATGGCCAGGCTTGGTGGTGCACATCTTTAATCTCAGCACTCAAGAGACAGAGGCAGGTGGATCTCTGTGAGTTCAAGGATAGCCAGGGCTACACAGAGAAACCCTATCTGGGGGGGGGGGGGGGGGGGCGGAGAAAGCAGATTAATTGTGAATTCATTTATCAAGCATGCACTAAACACTTTGTCCATGGTAGAAATAAAATGGCTAAGTGTCATTTTTGGTTCTAACTTCTTGGGCAAAGAATGTAAACAATGGAGTCAGATAGAACATGGTTATTAATTTATTAATAATGATGATGATAATTTTGGCTCCCTACTAGTAGAGTGACCTTGGCAAGTTATGTGCCTTTTACTGGAATTTTGTAAAGGGGGACTGATAGTACCTGCCTTATAGAATTGTGACAATGGCCGGGCGGTGGTGGCGCACGCCTTTAATCCCAGCACTCGGGAGGCAGAGCCAGGCGGATCTCTGTGAGTTCGAGGCCAGCCTGGGCTACCACGTGAGTCCCAGGAAAGGCGCAAAGCTACACAGAGAAACCCTGTCTCAAAAAAACCAAAAAAAAAAAAAAAAAAAAAAAGAATTGTGACAATGAACAAGGAAATAATTATACCTCCAGCCAGGCCTGTTCAGTGGCAAAGCATTGCTTTGTTACTGGTGACTGGGCCCCCTGCTGTTAAAGCTTCTATGTGCAGATCCCCTTTGCTCTGCCCTGAAACATCCGTTCAACAAACAAAAATTATCTGAGAACTTTACAGCTCTCTGCCTTGAAATAAGGCATAGTAATTTATTTCTCAGAAGTTATTTCTTGCTGTTGGCACATTAGGCTGCTGTCTTAGTCACTATTCTATTGCTGTGAAGAGACACCGTGACCAAGGCAGACCTTATAAAGGAAAGCATTTCGCTGTGGGCTTGCTTACAGTTGTCCTCACGGCAGGGAGCAGGTTTTGCACGCATGGTGCTGGAGCAGTAGCTGAGAGCATTGCATCCCTCTTGATTTATATTTGTAGGAATCTTTGCTTTTAAGTGTGCCCGTGCAGAAGAATTATTTAACATGTTGCAAGAGATAATGCAAAATAATAGTATAAATGTGGTGGAAGAGCCAGTTGTAGAAAGGAATAATCATCAGACAGAATTGGAAGTCCCTCGAACACCTCGAACACCCACAAGTAAGTAGCCATATTCCCTCTCATTTTGCATGTCAGACATTTATAAGATACAGGTTATGGATATTTAATCTGTAACAGTCAGAAATGGTGATCATCAACAAAACCCCTGTTAGCTTTAGCTACAAACATTTTTAAAGTGAAAACATTAATTATCGCACATTACCTAAAATGTGACTTAAAAGCCAGGAGTATAGCTCAGTGTCAGAATGCCCGACTGTGTGTGTGTGGGGGGGTGGGGGGGTGGGCAGGCAGATCCTTTATCACCAGCACTGCCAGAAAGAACAGTAGCTGATGCAGTAAGACTGGGTGAGCTGCTCTCTGTGTTCTAGTGTCTGTATGTCCTGACAGGAATGTCTCACTAACTTGGTGCGGATTAGATTCTCACTCATTTTTATTCTCTACCCTACTCCCATATCCTGTCTTTCTCCTCAACTCAATAAACACAAACTCAGCTCCAGGGTTTGCTGCTCAGAACTTACCTAATGGATATCCCCGCTACCCCTCATTTGGAGATGCCTCCTCCCACCCCTCCAGCCGGCATCCTTCTGTGGGAAGTGCTCGCTTACCCTCAGTCGGTGAAGAGTCTACACATCCTTTGCTTGTGGCTGAGGAACAGGTAAGCAGCTGCCACTGTGTGACCGCAGAACCCTCTGTGGAGTGAAGTGTTGTGGGTTAATACTTGGAGCTTTTATTCAGTATGAATTACAACTTCCATTGTGAATTACTTCTGCTTGAAAATTGAAGAAATGGCCTGTATTTGCTAGCCTGTGCTGAAATATGTACAGATGTTAGGGAACTTAACTTTGTTTTGAGAAAGGGTCTCACTAGGGAGCTCTGGCTTGCCTGGAACTCACTATGTGGACCAGGCTGGCCTTGGACTCCCAGAGAGATCTGCCTGCTTCTGCCTCCTGAGTGCTGGGATTGAAGAAACTTCCGAGTAGTTTATGTGTCCATAGAGAGGTCCGTCTGTCGATGAAGAAAGACAGACTCAGTCGGTTCTCGGTGGGTTAACAGTTGATGCTGCTTTTGATGTTTTCTTCTTTGTTATCAGTGAACTACAGATAGAAGGGTAGGTTTTGCTGTTGAAGTTGCTTGGAGTCATTTAGTTTTCCTCACTATGTGGAACCAAGTATTTGTTTGAACAGTTTTATATTATCAGATAAGTTTATCTTTGTAAGTTATATGATCATTTGTCAGTAAGGGATTTTTAGTGTTTTTAAAGTAATTTCTTTGTGTTCTTTATGTAGTAAACATTTTATAATATTTACTATAATTACATTTTCCTCAGTTTTGCATTTCATTTTGAATCCTAAAATTTTTAGGTTTAGTCTTCCAGATCTCTTTAGATTGTCTTTCTAAATTACCACTGAGCTTTCCTAATTAGTAGTGGTGTCTTCCTGGGTGGCATACATACATACACACACACACACACACACACACACACACACACACACACACACACATATTTTGGTTTTTCGAGACAAGGTTTCTCTGTGTAGCTTTGCGCCTTCCCTGGAACTCGCTCTGTAGACCAGGCTGGCCTCGAACTCACAGAGATCTGTCTGGCTCTGCCTCCTGAGTGCTGGGATTAAAGGCATGTGCCACCACCGCCCAGCTCTTAGCAAGGTTTTCTAAACCAGCTACAAAATGATAATCCTGTTTCATTCTGTTCTCCTTCCATTCTGTTCTCCTTCCATTCCATTTCCTTCCTTCCTTCCCTCCCTCCTTCCTTCCTTCCTTCCTTTCCTTCCTTCCCCCTTTTTTGAAATAGGGTCTTGTTATGTAGCCTATGATAGCCTCAAACTTAGCTATCTTCCTGCCTCTGCCTCCAGAGTACCAAAATTATAGGTATGTGTCACCATGATCAATACAATACTGTATAAATATAATGCTGTGTGTTATTTTAAAGTAGTTATTCCTTTTTTACAAATTAAAAGATTTCTGCATTCTTTCCTCTCCTCCAATCTTTTTATTAGGTAAAAAATAGGTGCAAAAGTTTTAAGGTAACAGTATATTTAAAGAGGAAGTAACAAGATTCACTTAGGTAAGCTAGGAATGGTGGCACAAGCATTTGGGAAGGAGCGGTATTGGGTCTAGTTTGATGCTAACCTGGGCTGCACAGTGAGACCCTGTCAATAAATAAATAAAATGAATTAACATGACTAAGATCTTTTTTAAAAAATTTTATGTGTATAGATAGGCATTTTGCCTGTGTGTATGTCTGCAGCCCATGTGTGGAGTGCCTGTAGGGGCTAAAAGGAGGCGTTGGAGTTACAGACAGTTGTGAGCTGTCATGTGGGTGCTAGGAATTGTGAACTCAGGTCCTCTAGCAGCTGAGTGCTTAACCACTGAGCCATCTTTCTAGCTCCTTCATTAATCAAACTATTTTTGCTCTGTGCTTTACACTTGACTGATTGGCTTTGTTTTCTTTCTAGGTACATACTTATGTTAACACTACAGGTGTGCAAGAAGAGCGAAAAAACCGTGCAAGCGTGCATGTGCCCCCGGAGGCAAGAGTTTCTAATGCTGAAAGCAATACACCAAAAGAAGAACCAAGTAACACTGAAGACAGGGACCCTCAGGTTCTTCTTAAACCCGAAGGAGTCAAGTTCGTGTTAGGACCGACCCCTGTTCAGAAGCAGTTAATGGAAAAGGAGAAACTGGAGCAGCTGGGAAGAGACCAAGTTAGCGGAAGTGGTGCGAACAGCGCCGAGTGGGACACTGGCTATGACAGTGACGAACGGAGAGATGCCCCCTCCGTTAACAAACTGGTGTATGAAAATATAAACGGGCTATCTATCCCTAGTGCCTCAGGGGTCCGAAGAGGTCGTCTGACATCTACCAGTACCTCCGATACTCAGAACATCAACAACTCCGCTCAGAGAAGGACTGCGTTGTTAAACTATGAGAATCTACCATCTTTGCCTCCTGTTTGGGAAGCCCGCAAGCTAAGTAGGGATGAAGATGACAATTTAGGACCAAAGACGCCATCTCTAAATGGCTACCATAATAATCTGGACCCAATGCATAACTATGTTAATACAGAGAATGTAACTGTACCAGCAAGTGCTCACAAAATAGACTATTCGAGGCGTCGGGACTGTACCCCGACAGTCTTTAACTTTGATGTCAGGCGCCCCAGCTTAGAGCACAGGCAGCTCAATTACATCCAGGTGGATTTGGAAGGCGGCAGTGACTCCGACAACCCTCAGACTCCAAAGACTCCTACCACTCCCCTTCCACAGACCCCCACCAGACGCACGGAGCTGTATGCCGTGATAGACATCGAGAGGACTGCTGCTATGTCCAACTTGCAGAAAGCACTACCACGAGACGACGGGACATCTAGGAAAACTAGACATAATAGTACTGACCTGCCCATGTGAGCCTGGAGAGCATTACGTCATTTGCACCGTCGTGAAGTTTTTAAAATGAAGATGCGATGCTTCACTGTCATTTCTACACTAACTCCTTTATAGACTGCTCCGTTGTTTTCTGAATAGTTCTTGTGCATCTTTAAAGGGAATTAATGTAGAGCAGGTACTCCTTAAAGAACACTAGTTTCATTATATTCTACTCATTATTGTACAGCAGCATTCCCATTTTCACAGTGCCTATTTAAAATGAGATTTGAAGTGAATGACATGCTGGTTGTTTTTTATTCCATATCCAGGACATATGCATATCTTTCACGTCTAAGTTGTGTTGGCATGTCAACCTTTCATAAAGTCTCTTGATAATGTGCATTGCTGACATAACTCTAGGCTTTGAAGGTAGGATTCACTGCTCACAGTGTATGGTCTCCAGCATGGAACACGAGGAATCTTATTTCATTAATTAAAGGCTTTTTGACTTGGGCCAAAAAAAAAGAAAGAAACAAAAGAACCACACCTCCTTTCGTACCAGTCAGCTCCTCTGTCTTCAGTGTTACTAGAAAGAGTCCAGTATCATGAATATAGTTATGTATTGGAAGGCAGACAGGAGACAACGTTTTGTTTACTCATCTCATGGTGTCATTTGAAGGGCATGTCCAGATATCATACTCAGAATGATGGTGGGTTTAGGAATCAGTCTCAGGTCACTTTACCCAGAAACATTTGAAAAATCTACACCATGATCTGTTGGCGTTTCTCTTGGATAGGTTATTGGCAGCACATTGTTTGCTGGAGACATTTGTGCCATGAAATTCCCATTTAGCTTCAGGTTTTTTGTTTTGTTTTTCCCCTTTGGTGTTTGGGTTGTCTTTGTTTTGTAACGTCTTTCTCAATTTACAATACAGTTTTTGAGTTTGTGTATCACTTTGGCATGGGAGTGTGTGTCTGTTGTTACTTAGTCTGCATTTTTGTCCAGTTAGGGTCTTGAAGGTCCATTTGGAGCTGACTGTTATTTTCTGACAGGCTTGCTCTTGTCCAGTATTTATTTATCTGCTGTCTACTTGTCAGCTTGAAGAAAAACCATTGTCTCGATTTTAAACGTCGTCATTCCTATGATCTCTTCAGTTGCCGAGAAGAAAAGGAAGATACTCTGAAGCATGTGAGTTCCCCAAAGGTGCCATCCTCCCTGTGGGCGCATCCCCAGCACTTTAACAGGGATTGCCTCAGTGGCATGACTACAGTCCTGCTCTGTCCACTCCGCTGTGCCGGGCTCCGCTGGCCTTTCCAGGGAGCTAGGCTCGCTCTCAGTAGTTCCTGGTTTTGGTGAGCTGTTGATATTGTTGCCAGCATAGCAGGTACTGGGAAGGCTGGACGCAGTGTGATTATGTTGTAATTGAGGATCTGAAATGAACTGAAGTTGATAGAAACTGATGTCGAACTCTTGAAAATCAAGAATGCTCCAAATTCCCAACCCACTGTAGAATAAAGAGAAGGGTGGAAGGACAGGCAGCCTTACAAAATATTTTACTTTTTTCTCTAACATTGAGGAAGTTTTATATCATGATCTGGATATACCAGGTGTGACTAAGACTGATTTAACAAGAAAAGGTTTCAGTCATAGAACATTCAGTGTATTCAGGAACTCATCACACAACAGTGAACAGATTAGCAGTAGAGTGGGGCCATTATGAAAATAAAATAAAAGTGTTGTCTTCATCGTTTTTTAGTGCCATTGGTTTATAGCAGAATTTTCTTTTTCCTTCTTGTTTCCTCTGTAAACTTGGTGCTTACTGAAATGTTCACTGTTCTCTCTAAGAGAGCAATGGCTAGATGTGCAGAGTTCATGTCTAATATGCTGTTCTGTTTGTTCTTTCTTCTGAGTGGATTGCTAATTGTGCCAAATGCCAGTGGGGGTTTTTGAATGTGGTAAGAACTGATGGCTACAGTGCACACGGTTCCCTCTGTACCAGCGTCAGGATAGCCCAGCTCTCCAGGGAGAGAGAGGGCTGGTCTGTTTGGTCATGCTGGAGGCTGCATGGTTTCTTCTTTCTTTTCTTTGTTCTCTCTGCGTTTCCCTTCAGAACTGAATTCAATTTTACAGTTCTTTGGTGACTCTCCTATAATCACTACAGTTTATGCTTTAAAAAGTATATGGTTAAGAATAAAAATGGGACCAATTTGTCTGCTAAACATTTGATTTTAGGGTACTATGTGAATATTGATTAGGAAGAGTTAAACAGGTGGTGGTAATTTCTAGATGTCTTCTGGAAATTACCTTTGTTGCTATTTAATCAGTCATTTAGAATACCACTGCCCTTTACAGTAGTCTCATAATGGGCATTAAGCTCTGTCCTGGAAGAATGTACCTATTACTATTTGAATTTTAAAGTGAGATATTTTATTGGCACATATTGGTGGCCATATGTCTCAGATTTTCTGAGACAAACCTAATTTTGGATAACTGGTTTTATTGATTAGACCATGAGATCCTACTTTTTGGTTTTAGAAATAGAATCCTCGCTCCCTTGTTTTTCCTGAAGAAAATCCGTTTTTATCCATATAGATCAGACAACATTTTTCCCAGACCAGGGGTGAAAAGTGATAGGGGGATTGCTAGTGTTTTTCTGAATGTCTTACTTCTCAGTTTCATCTTCCTTTGAAAAATGAAAATATGGTGCCTTCCTTCTCTCCCTCCCTCCCTCCCTCCCTCCCTCCTTCCCTCCCTCCTTCCCAGGAGATTGGCAAATAGTTCCTTGTATATCCTGCTGCTGTGGAGTGATGAGACATGCACTTTACTCTTAAAGACTCAGCAAAAAGTTTTCACTTCTCAGTAGATCCAGAATAAATCATGGTTGGGACTTAAACTTTGCCAAGCAATCTTCGTCATGACAGTCATTAATGTTGACCCCTACAATGTTATAAGTCAGACTAATGTGTGTTTATTCTCCCTACTGCTCCCACCTCAGATCTGTGGCACAGCATATAAAAATGTACCTCAATAATGTTCTATTAAAAATGGGACAGGGGCCTTATGTTTTCATAATTCTCCAACAATGTGCCACCATGTATTTGCCTCAAGGTAAAGGTTTTAACAAGCTAAAAAGTACTTCCCAGTTTCCCCTGTGCTCTTTTCTACCCATAATGCCCAAGTGTTTTGTGCAATGTGTAGTGTGTATGTATAAATATATATATATATATATATAAATATTCTTGAAATAGACATAACATCAGAGACATCATTCAGAAGTAATGTATTGGCATCTCATTCATATTTCTGATGTGAACTATATGGTACTATTTACTTTTTCCTTAATGTTTGCCAAATTTGAGTCAAGGCATTGGTACGAAATTACAGAATGTATAGGAAACATTTTGGCTTGAAAAGTTAACAAATGAAAGTATTCAGACCTATCACAATGTACTCTGCCCAGACCAGCACCCTGTCTTCTTGCTGCCTGTTCCCCATTCCTGCTTCCTCATCTTTCAGGGTGTAACAGTTCTTTTCTAGCATCCTGTAGTTGAATTTCTCTGGCAATTGTACAAGACAGCATGGAAACAGGCTGGGATCAATAGTACGGTAGTCACCAGGGTGCCACATTTGCATTAGTAAATGCAAATAGATGTTTTATAAAGGATAAATGTTGTGTTATGTTTCTATTTTCATTACATTGTATAATAATGTAAGATTATTGTATGTCCTAATTTGCATTATAAAATGTTTTTTTCCTACATAAAGGCATAAATATAGCAACTTTGTATAAAGGTACCTTATTAGATTTTAATTTTTCTTCTATAAAAGTTGTCTACAGTGGGACTACCATTGCCAAATTGTATATGAGATATGAATTTCACCCCTATGGTTAATTTCTTTTCTAAACATTCCATATTTCTCTAATGAAAGACGTGATTCTGTACTATGCATAAATTGTGTTTTAATGCTGTTTCATATCAGCATTTTAATTTTGGGTTTGCATTTTTAGTATTGGCAAAACTTGACCACTGTTAATTAAAATAAAACCTTGTTGTGTATGTAACAGCATCATTTGCCCTCCACCCCTCCCTGCCCTTTGTTCTTTATCTCCCGTCAGTGCCAACTTCATACATTTTGTAGCATGGCAATAAAATATAACTTTTACACTGAGGCCAAGTGTGGCTTTTTGGAGGCAGTGGAGTGGGAGGATTGCCACCTAGCTGTCCTGGGATGTGACTCCTTTGCCGTGTAAGCCGTGGTGTTGGGCATAAGAAGTTATATCTGATGTAAACATGCTTTTAAGGACAAGTGTGGATGTGCTTTAAAGCTTTGTTTTCAATGTAACAAGTCACAAATAACTAATTTTTAATGTTTGCAAAAGTCGGAGTTCTTGAAGTACAATCAAATCTTTATTAACTGGAGTACTTAAAGAATAAGCTAATAATGGAATTTTGTTAAACAAGGGCTAAGCAACACTTTTTAAAAATTCTTATTTATTGTGGAGTATTAGTATACTTTACTATCCTAAAATTATAATATGTAAAATATGGTTTAATCTTAGAAAATGTAGCATCTTGCAATGCCTTACTGTTATCATTCTGGCATAAATATCCATGATGAGGTACTCAAGTTGATACTGGAAGCTGAGCTGACTATACACTGACCTTAAGCATTCATGAAAAACTGCTTTGTTGAATAAAATCTGATGAGTTCTTATGGTCATTTTTCCCTTATTGCCAAAAGTAGATTGCAATAAAACCCAAATAAAAGCTTGGTTGGATACTTTTAAAGTTTTATTGTATTTATATTCCATATATTACTTGACACTTTATGATAAAGGTTACATTTTTTAAAAAAGATTTTATTGTTATTCATTCTTAAGTTGGGGTGTTGTTTTTTGTTTTTGTTCTTTTTGGGGGGCCTGCCACCCAGCTCCCAAATAAATCACACACAGAGCTTATTCATAATTGTAAATGCCTGGCCTTAACTTGGCTTGTTTCTTGCCAGTATTTCTTAACTTAAACTTAACCCATCTGTCTTTTGCCTCTGGGCTTTTCCTGTTCTCTTATTTCTGTAAATCTTAATCTTACTCCGTGGCTGACCCTTGATGTCCTTCTTCTCTAGCTACTTCTTTTTCCTCTCCTTGATCTTTCTTCTATATATTCTCTGTTTCTGCCAGCCCCACCTATACTTTCTCCTGCCTCGCTATTGGCCGTTCAGCTCTTTATTAGACCATCAGGTGTTTTAGACAGGCACAGTAACACAGCTTCACAGAGTTAAACAAATGCAACATAAACAGAAGTGACACACGTTACAATAATACTCTACAACATTGGGGAGTGGTGGTCTGCGTGTGAATGCAGTGCCCTTGTAGGCCAGAAGAGGAGGTTGATTCCCAACAGGTAGTGTTAGCCATCTGACTGTGGTTGGTGAAGAACCAACCAGGGACCTCTGCAAGACCAGTGTATGCTCTTGACTATGGAGCTGTACCTCCAGCCAGATTTGTTTTCAAAGTAAACACATATGTGCTGACTCGGCAGACTTTCTCACTATCCAATGTGTGTGGTCATTCCAATTTGTCTTTCTCAGTTCTAGGAGCCCAAACCTGATTTTAGCCACTGAATGAGATTGCCAGGCCTTGTCTAGTACAGCAGGGAGGGAAATCATTTAAGCAGTGTAGGGGGTAGACAGACCCACACAGATCATGGGGTATGTACACATTCCACACATTAGAGAGCACTCAAATTGGGTGTGTACATGTGTCATACATTAGAGAACATTCAGATTGGTCATGATGATACAAAGCATCTCTGAACACTAGGGTGCTAATGCTCAGAACTTTAAACCTGCTTTGAATTATTTATGTATTTTTCCCATGAAGATCTTCTGATGACAGTAACTGTTCATGTGTTCTTATTTAGCAGGTGGGCTTAAATTAGGCCCTGTGCTGGTCTCTGGAAAGAATCTATAGTTAGACCATCACTAAAGATAGAAAGCAGTGTCTTTCCTCCCAGACAACTAAGCCCTGAGACATAGCTGCTGTATTACAACCAACTTCTGTGAGAACTTTAGAAGGATGGTAGCCAGTTTCCTTAGAATTGAGGAGAGGGTTCCTTTTTTAAAAATGTATGTGTGTGTGTGTGTGTGTGTGTGTGACAGGTTCTAGAGACATACTTCCTCATGAATATTTTATTCAGTGATGTGGTTAAAGCCGTATAGAACCTAGGACACATGCATAGGTTATGGAAGAAGGGTTTCTTGTGTGCTGTAGCTATCAAGATTCCTTTAAATATTTCCTGCCTCATCTAAGTATAATAGTGGTTCTTTTATAGAAGCTCCACAAGCCGGGCGGTGGTGGCGCATGCCTTTAATCCCAGCACTCGGGAGGCAGAGCCAGGCGGATCTCTGTGACTTCCAGGCCAGCCTGGTTTACAGAGCAAGAGCCAGGACAGACACCAAAACTACACAGAGAAACCCTGTCTCGAAAAACCTGAAAAATTTCCCCTATTTACTACCAGAGGGGTCAGTATTGTCCCCACTGAGAACCACAGGATCCAGAAGCTACCTATAAACACAGACAGCAAAAAGCACCTGTAATGTAGTGTATTGCTTTAATACTGACAAGTTTTTTTTTTTCATAGAAATTAGAATTTTGACTTGTGAAAGTGCCTTGACTACCAGTACTATCACAAATGCTAGCTTATTTTATTTAAAAATATTAAAAAGTTTATGTGTATTTGTATGTATATGCACATGTATATGCAGATATCCTTGGGAGCCTGAGAGTGTCAGATTCCCTAGATTGGGGTTACAGGCATTTGTGAGCTCCCAGATAATGGGTGCTGAAAACCAGACTCCTGCAAGCACTCGTAACTGCTGAGCTGTCTCTCCAGCCCCTGTGAGTTTACTTTGACTGTCCTGACTGTTTGCCTCTGCAAACTGTTAAACTGCAGCGTTGCGCATGGTGAATGGTAGGAGGATTTAGTACCAAACAGCGAGAATCCAAGTAGGCCTTGACTGTGGAGTCCTGACTTCCCTACTCTAGTATTAGGCAAGTTCTTGAGGAATGCAGAGACCTCTCATATATTGTTATTTTAATTAGTTCTATCGCTCCAGATATAACCAGTGGTTCTCAACCCATGGGTCACAGCCCCTTTGGGGGTCAAACAACCCTTTCACAGGGGCCCCCTAAGAGCATCAGAAAGCACAGATATGTACATTATGATTCATAACAGCAAAATTACAGTTATGAAGTAGCAACAAAAATAATTTTATGGTTGGGGATCACCACACCATGAGCTGTATTCAAGGGTTGAAGCCTTAAGGCTGAGAAGCACTGCTCTAGACAGTGACTCCCTCCTTTTCCCCAAGTCACCTCTATCAAATAACCTTCCTTATACGACAGAGCTTTGCATGTTATTCCAAGCACAGCAAACCATACTGGAGTTATAACTAACTTAAATAGAGCTTGCTGTAGCCCAGGCATCCTCTAAGCAATTTAGTATTGCTTTTGTGAGATGCACATTCTGACCGTGTCTATTTCTTTTTTTTTTTTTTTTTTTTTTTTTTTTGGTTTTTCGAGACAGGGTTTCTCCGTGTAGCTTTGCGCCTTTCCTGGATCTCGCTCTGTAGACCAGGCTGGCCTCGAATTCACAGAGATCCGCCTGGCTCTGCCTCCCGAGTGCTGGGATTAAAGGCGTGCGCCACCACCGCCCGGCAAACTAAGGCTTTTTTTTATTTTATGTATATGAGTGCTCTATTGACCTTATGCCAGAAGAGGCACCAGATCTCACTATAGATGGTTGTGAGTCACCATGTGGGTGCTGGGAATTGAACTCAGGTCCTCTGGAAGAGCAGCCAGTGCTCTTAACCTCTGAGCCATCTCTCCAGCCCCCCTGTGTCTATTTCATACACCAGGAAATTGAGGCCCAGAGGTAATGTAGCTAGGGGTAGCCAATTAACAGACAATTACTAAAAGAAATTCAAACCATGGGGAAGGAAAATTGTAGTCAAGCGGTGGCCCACAGCTTTAATGCCAGCACTCAGGAGGCAGAGACAGGTGAATCTCTTGAATTAGAGGCCAGCCTGGTCTACAGAGCGAGTTCCAAGACAGCCTGGGCTCCACAGAGAAATCCCGTCTCAAAACAATCGAGGAAGGTCACAAAGACAGAGTGGGGAGAGCTAGGAGAAAACAATGTGAGGAATAAAGAAGGGAAATAAGCAAGGAGACGTCCATGGAAACACGGATCCCACAGTCTCACTATTTCTGTGGACCCTAGAACATACCCAATATAAATTGCTATACAATTTATAGAAGATGTTTTAGGGGGTAAAATGATACATTCAGCAAGTAGGACTCTTTGGAATAGCTTTCAGTGAGTGAATCGATTCAGAGGGCCTATGGAAGCCCTAGATTACAAAACTAGTTGTAAAAACAAGTTGAAACTCAAATCATTGCAGCTTGGTTCTAGAGGTTGAATGTTTAACCTCTCAGGTGTGGGAGACGCACCAAGTGAAGGGGAGGCGGGAGAAACCAAAGAGCTAAAGTCTCTATAGCGTCCCCATCACAGGGGGCTCCTGGCTTCCTCTCATCTCATCTGCACGGTGGCAGGGTCTGGCTCCTGGTTCCCATCCAAATGTCTACCCACTCTTCCTAAATCTAACAGGCAGGGGACACGGAAATCCCATCATCCACAATCTCAATTTGCCTGCCACCCTCTGGACAGGAGAGTAATAACTCCTAGTAAATAATCTGTCCACAATAAAAGCAGCCTTTTAAAATGTGTGGGTAGGTTAGCTTCTCAGGGTGACTTGCTTCCAAATGGGATCTGGGATCTGCCCATTAAAATACATTTCCTGCGGGGCGGTGGTGGCGCACGCCTTTAATCCCAGCACTCGGGAGGGAGAGCCAGGTGGATCTCTGTGACTTCCAGGCCAGCCTGGTCTACAGAGCGAGTTCCAGGACAGGCACCAAAGCTACACAGAAAAACCCTGTCTCGGAAAAAAAAAAAAATAATAAATTTCCTAATAAAAATTTTCCTGCAACAGAAAACTAGTAAGTTTCAAATAACAATTGGCTGGGCCTGAACACACCCCTTGTTACAGTGGACCTTAGGACAATGTAAACCAGGGTCACAGACTTATTTAAAATGACTGTTGTAGGCTCTGCATACCCATAGACTATCACAATCACCTAATTCTTTGTAACTGTTGCAGGATGAAAAAAGAACATGCCCTTCTTTGAACAAAGCTTTACTGGCATCAAAATACTAATTTCATGAGTCATGAAAGTTTTTTCAAATATTTGAATATAAACAACTCTTAGTGCTTGTGGGTTGGGTTGCTCACTACTCCAGCTCTAGGGGATCTGATGCCTCTTTTGGCCTTTGCTAATACCTACACACATGTGTGAAAACACACACACACACACAGAGAAATAAAAACTTGAAAAGTAGGCTCAGTGGGTAGAAACTTACGCTTTTGAGCCTGACATCCTGAGTTCAATCCTCAGGACCTACGTGGTGACAGGTCAAAACTGATGTCCTCTGACTTCCCTGTGTGTAGCATGGCACACACAGATATGCACGCATAATTATTTTTAAACAATGCTTAGAACTTTAAAAGCAGTTGGTAACTAGATTTGAGTCTCCATAGCTTGCCCACCCAATATAAATTAAGTTACTCTATCTGAGAGTAGAAATAACTAAAAATTAAAAATGCCTTAGTGTTAGCAATTGTCAGAAATATAGGTACTTGCTAAGTGATCAAAGAGAAATGTTACCAGAGGATC